TTTTCGCGTTAAATACTTGCCTCTATTGCCTTTGTGGCCATCATACACTTTATCACTCATAATTCAGAACATTTAAATAAATTATAAAGTCAAAATAACAACGGTAAACACGTAATTACGACTCGAATTGCAGCGCACATGTGATTCACGAAACACGTGTTCTTACAATAGTAAGCACGTACTATATAGATTGGTTGGTTGGTTGGTAGTGTATGTATAGTACACAGCGACATCTACAATATAGTTTTGAAGTATATTCTTGGCGGTCAATAAGTTATAGGCATACATATGACTGCGAGATTCAAAAAATGCAGCGTCAACGATATAGTCGAAATTTGCTGTTTTCACATCTCAAAGTTGCTCTACAAAAATCGATTTTCAGAGCATTTCTGAGTTCTTTTCATGCTTGGACGTTATTGATTATTAATCTAGGAATGTTTTGACGTAATTTAAGCCAATAAAAAAAAAATGGAAAAAAAAATTCCATACAGATATAACCCCTTAACAACGCGACTTCTGTCGATAAGATTTCATCCATGAGATCAGCGTTGAGAATTTCCGTTGGTCGAACTCTCTCTCGTAAAATTCTCGGCGCAGCAATACTGATTTCCACTCATTGCGTGATACACTAATATTGCACAATGTTTTTAATTCCTATTCTAAGATCATATGCCTTGCTTTAACACGTCGGAAGGCTTCGAGGGCTATAACTCCGTTATGGTCGTTAGTCATGTTATGACACCTTATGAATCTTATTAACGTCTTAACCTGTAGTCATAACTGTGCAATTATACGAATGGTTGAAGACAATAATAAACGTATAATTATAATAATATAATAAACTTAAGAAAAGATATTTACATTAATGAAATCGAATTCTTGAACGGGAAGAAAGGATAGGAAATGGAAAAATAAAGCTAGTTGTTGTGTAAAGTAAATTCTTTCTTTGTATCGCTTTCTTTCTCAACATGCTAAAATACAGATTTTCTCTTATTTTGTAGAATAAGAATGAGGCATAGGATAGGCTCGAACTATCTCAAAGACGGGCTCTCCGCGGACGCGGGAGGATTTGAACGAGACCGTGCAGATACATCTGCGCAGTTTCCGCAACGTAAAATGCCCGTCTAACAAAGAATACATCCTTGCGGTTCGATCCCGCGTGGAAGGTAGAACTGGGTAGAACTTTTCCTCCGTTGGTTCGTGAGCCGCTAATAATAGTAGATCAAGAGAGCGCACAATGACGATTCGTGAAAGGCCCCTCCGCGTTTGCCTTAAATGCTATGTATTAAGCGCAAGCCGATCACAAAGAATGTAGAGAAACGCGCGCTCGCGTCTCTCGACAGCTGACGGGCGGATGACGAATGCGCCTCTCCGAGAATCGCCTCGTTAACGATTTCGCGTACGGCCGGCCGTTCTTCTTTTAGATATATAGGTCGTCGCAACGACGAGGACAACGCGCAACCGTGTGCCAAGAATTTAGAGAATCGCAGTGGGCCGCGGGAGGAAGAGAGTGGGAAACATTTACACGTAAACAATGCATGATTCACGCAACAGCGTATGTTTTATATTCTTACAAAGTACTCTACAACGATATAGGATATTTATATTATCGCTTTATATGCAGGTCTGTTTCTTTTAGAACGAAGAAGTTACGGAGCGAATCAGATTCGTATATTGATCTGTGTTCGCTCATTTATACTTTTACATTTATTTACTTTTACATTTATTTACAGTTACAGGAGTTATCAGCTGCTTTTAAATTGTAAGTTTCAGACAACTCGCCACCAACTTTGCTCCAAGTCACCAAAGGAACTTTGGGAGGGGGAGGGGAGTCGCCTATGAAAGTCGTGTCCAACAGACAGATCAGATGATTCCGCGCTACCCATGTTGGCGCCCGCATTTGTACTTTTATGTTTAGCGGGAAATGGGATATAAACACACATATGTGCTCTATTCAAGACATAAATCATCTTATGCCGTTTTTCAAGTAGTTATGACAACGAAGGACACAAGGTACCTCGTGGGCATCATCATCGTGAATACCTGTCAAGCGCAAAGGAATTGGTAGCGTTAACGAAGGGGGCATAATCAGGAGAAAAGACATGAAATAGAGAATTATGGAGATGAGTCCCTCACGATAGGAATAAAATAGAAGAAAGAAAAAAGTTCGGCGTTAACCGTAACTCGTAAAGGTGGTGGAACGTAATTCATCAGAGTATCCACCAGGAGGGAGAACTCTTTTATAATGAAGGCGGCCTATCATCAGGTTACCGAATAGATTCTTGGTCTTGACTTCTAGTTACGAGGGAACGATAGAGACGAGGAGATTGTGCAAGAATGCACCGTCACCACCTGTACTTGTTTCGTCACTTCGCGATGGCTTTGAACAGGCTTGACGGTGGTGTTTGAGCTAATCGGCTCACTTACTTACTTTCGCCAATCAAACTTGAATCGCCAATGAACCGCGAAGATGCGATTCCAGGATTGTTTAGGATTCTCTGAGAGAAACATTCTCTAAGAGAATAGCTTCGGGAATAGACGATATTCATCTGCGATCTTACTAAGATGGCATCACAATATCCCCAGGCATATTGTGAGATAATTATAGTATGTTAAGATATTGATGATAAGAAGGTATCAATTACTACCAATTAAGAATTTAATAAAATGATCTGAGAATGTACATTATGTGTTTTATGGTAATAAACAAAATCTTTTTGCCATATCCATCCTGATATATTTAGGCCCGTTTCTACCAATATACATAGATTAACTTTTATCTCGGTTTAATTTACTCTTTATTTTTTCTAATTCTTAAAAAAAGAATAAGGTAAAAATAAGTCAAACCAAGATTATACTTATATTGATAAAATAGATGTATAAACATAATAGGTTCTTACGAAGGTGATAAGTATGTTATAATCGGAAAGCGACAATGATAAAGATAAAGATAAAGATAGAGGTAGAAAGTAAAAGTAAATAGTTAAATAGTTAAATAGTAAAATAGTTAAATAAGAGCGTGTATGAAGTGTGGAAGGATGAATGAGGTAAGAATTTATTGTAAATCAAGTCCCCTTCTTGACTATGTAAATGCTGAAGTGTGTGTGTGTGTAATAAATTCTTTCTATTCAGATTCTTACGACCAATTTTAGATAATGCTAACAACAGTGCATTTAAATTCCCGCGCCCAATTATTTTGCTATTAATACAGTTAATCAATCTGTATTTTGAAAAATTATATAATAATTCGTTGTTAGACAATTAACTATATGCTTGCAGTTAGATAATTAAATATATTTTTAGTTTAATTGAAAATGAACATCGAAAAGGTGCATATTTGTTATATTGCATGCTATTTTCATCACGGTAAAACTACTAATGCACTAGAATAATTTGTAAGCTTTATGAAATTAAATAGCAATTGTGATAGCAATTGAATTTCGATGTGAACAATAAATCGCGCTATGAAGCATTCTTTTGCCGCGACATCAGTATGCTGTCTGAAAGATGGCAAAAAATGATAGATTCGAAAGGTAAATACTTTAATTGATATATTTGTACTGTTTCTTTTATATTAATGGATATATTTTTTAAAAAATCGGGAAGAGTCAGAAAAAGATGTACGATAAATGATAATACGGGAAAATCGCGGAACTAGGAATTCGTATAGAGTGAAAGACCTGATGACCTGAGTAATTGTATTTAATTTTACTTATAAGTAGACATTTTCAAAATTTAAGTAGAATTAAATACAATTTTTTACTTATAATATGTAATAATAATATAATTTATTATATTCAAGAAAGCATTTAAAATCAGATTGCCAGTATATTTAAGACACTATCAATAATTGCATAAGCAATTGAAAACAGTTTAAACAGTAAAAGACGGCATATAATGCGTAGCGAATGAAATCACATACAATTCGCGAAGCAAATGATATATTTATGAGAGGGGAAATTAATAATGAATCCAAGTACTGACGAGTATGTACTAAACGAATTGCAAAGATTATGTAGACGATTTCGAGCTAATAACAGGCTAAAATGAAAAAGTCGCAATAAGCAATTTTAATAAATAAAATCAATAAGCGAATATCTCAATAAAAGTTACGCGTGATTCGAAGTTTATCTATGCAAAGTTAAAAGTTTACACTTTTCAGATGTTCCGAATATATTCTTAGGCAATGTCGGCAAGGATATTTGTAGGTACTAAGTATCTAAATAAAAAAAATAAAAAACAAAAGAATAGGAAAGGAGGATACAATAAAAAGAATTTATACTCTTTTTCTTTCCGAAAATCTATACAACCTTAACTAAAGCAAAGGACTAAATTAAAGCAAAGACAACATGATATTGTATAATTTATATTACTTATACAGCCTCGAGAAAAAAT